CTCGGGCCCGCCTGACCCCCTTAGATCCGGCCCCGGACTCTTGAGTGCTGCAGGTCGATGTCCGGGTCCAGTGGTGGGGTCGGTGTCCTCGGGATGAGATTTAGGGTTCCTCAGGATTAGATGGCGTCTCCAGGAGGTGCTTTGGGAATCTTCATAGTGATATCTGGGATCCTGTCATGAAAGGAGTAGTCTTTGATATCAGAACTCGGTCCCTGGGGTGATATTTGGGAGTCACTGGGGTGATCTCTGAGGATCTAGGGCTTCGAGCTTGACCTGCTGGGGCTGAAATTTGGGGGTCTCAGAGGTGGCATGGATGTTGGGGTCCAGAGAGCCTAAGATCTTGAGGGCTGACATTTGGAGAGATGGAGTCGGGGGACATCACAGAAGTGCTATGGCTCTTCCGCACCGCCATTCCTGGGCTACTATCCCTGGATCTCTGCTGGATAGACCATGACCCTGGCCTTGTGCAGGCTCACAGGGTCTGAAGGCCACAGGGCAAAGGTAAAACTCTGACCACCTGGTCCCTCCTTCCCAGGCCCGCAAGATGGAGGAAGGTGGGAACCCGGAAAGCCTGACTAAGGTGGTCCATCTACTGGTCTTGTCAGGGGCCTGGGGCATGCAAATGTGGGTGACCTTCGTCTCAGGTAGGGACCCTCGGCCTGGATATCATGAGTGCCTAAGGTGGGGACAGGGATGAGAGGGGGACTTGGAAGTGTCCTAACAGACATGTGGTCCCCTGCACCCCACAGGCTTCCTGCTTTTCCGAGGCCTTCCCCGACATACTTTCGGCCTGGTGCAGAGCAAACTCTTCCCTTTCTACTTTCACATCTCCATGGGCTGTGCCTTCGTCAACCTCTGCATCTTGGCCTCACAGCGTGCGGGGGCTCAGCTCACATTCTGGGAGGCCAGCCAGGTATGACAGCTTGAGCTCCACTATCCTCTGGAGATTCATTCCCAGGACCACACTGAGCACCTATGGCTACACCTTTGTGAGAATTAAAATGAAACCCCCCAAACTGCCCCTTCTTCCTGGTGTATACAAAGTTGGGTTCTGGATACCCTTGAGCAGTGCACAGCCTGCACAACCATCCCCAGCAGCCCTGACTATTCCGCAGTGTCTCTCTGCTGGCTGTTGCTCCCTCTCCTCCCCTTGGCTGGGCCTGCAGCCAAGCTGTGGTGACTCAGCTGGGCTGGGGCACTGACCCCAGCTCAGTGTTTAAAAACCAGCCTGACTGGGAATTTACAGTCCCCCACCCTCATCCACACATTTTTCCCAGCCACAAGGCAAGGAACCATCTGTGCATCTCATATTTCTCTATCCTGCCCTCCCCCTGCCCCCATTATGTCCCTCAGATGTGGGCAGGTGAGGCCTGACAGGGGTTTCAATAATCCCACAGACACAGGAGGGATTATGGGTAATTGGAACTTCGAGGACTTTTAATTCACTCCCTCTGGACCCAATGTCAGCTTATAGGGTCTAGGCTGGGGCCACAAAGGAGATGGGCCCTCTATTTTGGGGAAATGAGGGGACAGTTATGGTGCTCTGTCCCAATTCAGGGAAGAGAGGCTCTGCCCTGAGATACCCTCAGTTTGGGGGAACAGAGGAAGGTAGGAGACAGGCTGTGTTCTGGAAAGTTCCAGTCAGGGTATCAGAGGAGAGGAGGCTTAGGAGGTTTGGGGGAGAGAGAGGAGACAGTGGTAGAGAGAGGAGATAGTGGTGGAGCCTTTCCTTAGGAGCTGCAGGTTTCAGGGTATGAGAGCTGGAGCTCTGTTTGGGTTTGAGGTTGGAGTGGGGAGGCCTGGCTTTGACCCAATCCTGTCCCCCATTCCCCTCTGGGCTTTGAGGATGCAGAAGGACCCTCCCTAGGGCCCCTGCTGTCTCCCAGGCGTGGCTCACCTTGTCCTCCTGCCGCCCTACCAGCTCTGCTTGCTGCTTCTGAGCCTCATGCTGGCCACCATCAACGCCCGCTGGCTGGAACCCCGCACCACGGCCGCCATGTGGGCCCTGCAGACCATGGAGAAGGAGCGGGGCCTGGGCGGGGAGGTGCTGGGCAGCCACCAGGGCTCAGACCCCTATCGTCAGCTGCGGGAGCAGGACCCCAAGTACAGTGCCCTCCGCCAGATCTTCTTCCGCTACCATGGCCTATCCTCCATTTGCAATCTGGGCTGCCTCCTGAGCAATGGGCTTCATCTTGTAGGCCTCGCCCTGGGCCTCAGGAGCCTCTAGCCCCCACTGACTCTCTGTCTCTGCTGGGGCCCCAAATGTCAATAAACACTTCTTTGGAAATGACTGCTGTCACTTTTCTCCAACTGGGAAGCAGGGGGAGGGGCAGGCAAGGGTAGAGCTGAGGGATTCCGTTTCCCCATTCATGTGGCATGATGATTTGAAGAGTTAGCTGTTGCAGCCCTTAAGCTCTTCCTATAATGGCGCCCATTTGTTGAGCACCCACTGTGTGCCAGGTGTGGCGCTAACCACTGCACAGATCATGTATTATTGTAACAACAGCTGGTTCTGATCCCTAGAGGACAATCATATTTTTCACCCCATTGACATCGGGGGTGGCCATGTGACTTGCTTTGGCCAGTGAAATGTAAGCAAAGTCATTTCCAAAGAGAAGTATACAAGCCAGTATGTGATTCGCCACATCTTCCCCTCATTGCAATGACCGGTGTGAGAGAAACAAACCTTGGATGTTAGATGCCATGATGACTATAGGGCAGCTTGTTACTGAGCATATGCCATCCCTTCCTGACTGATACACATCATCTCAGTTTGTCCACAACAGCCCTTAGAGGTGGCTAACATTGTTCCATGAAGCAATGGGAGCTCAGAGAAATTCAGCAAGTGGCTTCAGGCGCAGTTGTTGGGATTTGAAGCCCAACAAAGCCTGAACTGTGTTTTGTTTTGTTTTGTGTTAAATTTTTGGCCACGCTTCATGGCATGTGGGATCTTAGTTCCCCAACCAGGGGATAGAACCTGTGCCCCCTGCAGTGGAATTACAGAATCGTAACCACTGGACCGCCAGGGAAGTCCCAAGCCTGAACTGTTATAACTGCAGATTCTCTTCTGTTGGCTTGAAGAAAAGTCTGGGACCTCAGCTGGGCCTGGTTGCCAAATTGTGTGGCCTCAGGCAAGCGTCTGCCCCTCTCTGATTTCCAATTTCTTTATCTGTAAAAGGCGGGGTTGGTGGTGGTGGGGGTGGTGGTGGGGGTGGTGGTGGTGGTGGTTAATTCTAAGGGCCCTTAAGGGTATTTGGGAAAGGCTCTAGCCCAGTTTAGGTCAGGCGCTGCATGTTACAAACACTAACTCCGATCAGAACCCTTACACAACCCTGTGAGGTGGGTACCCTCGTTATCGACCACGTGACGGATGGGGAAAATGAGACCCAGGGAGGTTAACATGTCCAAAGCGACAAGGCTAGAAAGTGGTGGAGCTGAGATTCGAACCCGGCTCCAGAGTCCGTGCTGCTTAGCTGCTGTGCACGTAGTAGGAGCTCCTTAGCTTAGCTGCTGTGCACGTAGTAGGAGCTCCACGTATGGTTAGTGAAAATGCAATATTTATTGTCAGGGAACTGATAGCTGCGCGCGCGGTGCGACTTCCAGCCCCTCCCCCGCCCCGCCCCCCAATCCGCGGTCTCCACAGGCCCCGCCCCGGTCCCGCCCCGCCCTTCCCCGAGAGGGGCCCCTCCTCCCACGCCTGGGCGGGGCCGGCGCGGGATCCGGGTGGCTGCGGGCAGCGGTGGCGGCTGTGGCTGCGGGGTCCGGGTCGCAGTCAGGGCCAGGTCGCAGCGAGTTCGGAGGCGGAACGTCTGAGGGCGGCGTCCCCACGCGAGGTGACCCCGTCGGAGGGAGCGCACCCTAACCCGCGCCTCCGCGTCTCAGCAGGTCTTGGGGGGGACAGGGGCTTAGGGGGAGGCCCGGGGCCTGGGGAACAAAGGCAGGCAGCGGGGGACGCCTCCTCCCTCGCCCCCACCCAGCTGGGCTCATCGGGGAGCGTTAATGGGGCGCGGGCGGGGCAGACAGCCCAGCCGGGGACAAGAGATGGGACCATATGGTGATGGGAAGAAGCTCCTGAGCTCCCCTGCACCTGCTGGGGCGCCCCACATCTAGTGACGGGGGACAGTGTCAAGCCCTCCGGGGTCCCTTACCTAGTGGCAGGCTTGAGGGAGAGTCGGCAGATTGTCAGAAAGAGGTGGGACCGGCTGACAGGTGGGCTGAGGCTGGGGGATGGGGCGGGGCGGGGGCCCCCATACCGGCGGCCCTGCCCTGCATGGGGAAAGGCTTCCAGCCTTTCTCTTCCCCTCCTCAAACTCGTTCTCCCGGAACACGGGGTGGGGCGGAGGGCTGGGCAGGAAAGGGGGGCTAGTTGGGTCCTCCTTTAAAGTGGAAAAAAGCCCCGCGGGGCAGTTGAGAAATGGCTTTGCCAGGGGTTCCTATGCTGGTTGTTCCCATTCACCCAGGCCTTCTGGAGCCTCCCTGTGAGGCTCAGGGAGCAGCCATAAACAGCTGGGGAAACTGAGGCCATGAGGGCTGAGGGGGAGAGCTGGATCCAAATGAAGCAGCCCAGCCGTGGGGACAGATTGCCAGGAAAGGCAGGACCAGGGGGTCGTGGTGGTGGCTGAGGGTGGTCTTGCATTTGAGGACCGTCATTCTGGCCTCCGTGGACTGAAGCCGGGGCTGGGGTGAGTCAGCCCTACTGGGAGGGAGATGGGCCCGGCCCCTTGGACAAACAGAAGGTGGCAG